CATGCTTCTAGTTGCTCAGACCCAAAACTGTGGTATCATCCTTGGTTTTTTGCTTTATTTCCTCTATCTAACCCATCAGCAAATCTGGTAGGTCCTACTTTCAAAAGACATCCAAAGCCGACCATCTCTCATATATTTGTTTTTCTTGGAGACATATGCATAGCTCACTCCTTAAACCTTCAGTCTCCGTCAACTGTTACCTGGCATGGCCTTCCTTTGCTCTATATACTTCAGCACTCCGTGTTCCTCCCCGACCCCTTTGCATTTGTCCATAGCACTTACCATAATCTGACTTTACTAAGCATCTATTTGTTTACTGTTTGTTCTCCTATACTGGAATATAAGCTCCCTAAGGGTAGAAACATTCATGTTCTGTTTGTTGAATTCCCCAGTGTGTAGAATAGTGTCTGCCACATACTAAGCATTCAGTAAATATTTATTGAACTTTCAAAATACTACTAATAGAACTTTTTAAAAAGAATAGTTTTATTTATTAGATTTTTTTATTTTATGATTTTTATAGTTCTGTTTAATGTGACATTGGGTTTATAGCAGAATAATGTACATTCAAGTTGAGAATTAAGAATAGTAATCCAAATTGTTTGAGAGCAAAGTAATCCTAGTGGCAAAATGATGATAGAATTGGAGCAATAATCTTAATTATGATGTAACTGTCATAATACTAAGTAACTTATTAAAGACCTAATTTATTTTGCCATTGGGACCTACCATGAATGTTGAACATATTCCTAGCTAAAAATAATGTATCATTTCACTTTTGTAGCATCCAACAAAACCATAAATTTACTGGAACAATTAAAAACTAGTCAATTTGGTGAAAATGGGGAATATATGAATGTCATATAAATAAAAATTCTGAGTTGAATGATACTGGGAACCATAGGAAGGAGAGAAAAATAAGACTTTGGGTTAGAATAGTTTATCAAACAAAAGAAAAAAGATTAAAGACACCTACATACCATTAATATTTCTCAGAAATTATGATTTCAAAATGAAACATTTCTTTTACATAATTTTAAAAATCATAAGCACATAACATATTTTAGCAGAACTTAACCAGGGAGAAACGAAAACCTGAGGGCATAATTTCTTTCCTGTTCAACATATGAACCCAGGGTATCTCCAGATAGTGGTTAAAAGGTGGTGAGCTTTTTAAAAAAATACAGGATCCTATAATTTTGTATTAATTAGCACTGATCACATTAAAAACTGTTAGAGTATCTAAATGGATTTTTTTAAATTAGATAAGCAATTGAGTTGTTCTGCTAGTAATTTTTTTCCTGTGTAAGCTGAATTAAGGTACTGTTACATCTGTGTTTAGAGTATTTCCAGTGGATTTTCATTTTTAGGTGCTATTTACCGATCATAGAATGTATTTTGTAACTTAAAAAGAATTTGGCTTTTCCTGTCTTGAAATGTATTTATACTTCCACCTATTCTTGTAATACCCACTTTAAGTTTCTGAGGAAGAGGTGACCTACCTTTCTAAACTCTACATGTACCTCTTCCTTTCTCTCTCATCTTTTTTCTATGTCCTTACATCACCATTAAGTGCTTCTTTTCTTTGTATAAACATGGTAAATGTCTTCTTCAGCCTAACAGAAAATGAAAAGACCTTTCCTACCACCCTCATGCTCCTTCCCATCACATCCAGACTTATGCTTTCATTTCTGTTTCCTCACTTCCCAGTCACTCCCTAGCCTATCAATCTTTCCCTTTTACCTCCTACTATTTTGTTATGCTATCCTGGGAAAAATGACCAGAGACCCCCTCCCTTGTCAAATCTAGTGTCTTTCTGTCAGTCATCACCCTGCTTACCCATCCATGACCTTATCCACCAGTCCCTCTTTGGGTACTCCTCTGAGGTTTCTGCGATAGGTAATTTTTTTTTTTCCAGAATCTCAACCCCAGCCCTCAGTTGGTGCTACTTTTTCTCCTGCATGACCTCATCAGTGCCCATAGCTTCAGCTTTCTCTCATGCTACCTGAATGTTATCTAAAGTGGCTCCTTTTGCATTCTTTACTTTGACTAATGGCATTACCATTTACCCTGCCACCCAGGATATTTAATAGGAACTTCAAAATCATATTTTACTTTTTCTCCCTCACACTCAGACTTAGTTATGAAGTCCTTTTGAATGTGCCTCCTAAAAGTTTCTTGCATTTGTCCCTCTTTCATTCCTGCTGCTTTCTTAGTATAGGCCTTCATTCTTTGCTCTGGGTAAAAATAATACCCCTTTCCCTCTTACACCCTATTTCATAGTTATCATTGAAAAACCTCTCACTCTCAGGCTTCCAGGCCTCCATGCTTAACATAATATCCACTTTGCCTCTTCTACAGCTGTACAACATGTACCCTTAAGACTGGGCTTTTGAACCTTTTGCCTCTTACAGTATTAACTGTTTTAGGTAGAAATTGTATAGTTGCTAGGATTATCTCATACCACTGATCCAGCTTCTCTGTACTATATGTGGCAGGTTTAATCTTAGTTCTCCCTCTGGGCATTTCCTCAGTTCCTTACCCTTGAACAGACGTTCCAGTATTGATGTAAACAATCCTATTTCACATTTTTGAATGTCTAATGTGTTAGGTGCTAGAAATGACACAGAGGTGAATAAGACAAAACTCTTGCTCTCAGAGATATCAGTCTTTTTCTTTTGAGGGATAAACATACACAGTAAAATGCATAAAGTGGACTAATATTAAATGTAGGCTTGATGAATTTTCATATATGTGAACAGTCATTTCTGGCACACCAGAAGTTTCCTTCATTCTCCTTGCTGCTCTACCTGCTCCTCAAAACAACTATTCTGATTTCTATCTTTAGAACCTGCTATCTTAAATGGCCTTTTAAATTAATAGCAGGGTTTCTAAAAAAATTCAGTGATCAGATACAGCTGGCTTTTCAATTTCTAACCTAGTGCTCCAGAAAAACTAATTATACTGTCCATGTTAAGAGATACTCGGAATTGGTATTAGTCTGCCTAGTAGCACCAAATAATGTGTTACATCATTAGCGGATTTATTGAAGGATTAAAGAATTAACAATGTGATATTAAATAGCATGGAGAAACAGAAAAAAATACGGAATTTTTTGTCAGAACATCTGAGTTATAATCTTTAGCTCTACCACTCAAATTTTATAGTGTTTACAAATAACACCTTCTTTGGGCCCAACTCCTCAGATATAAAATGCAAACAATACCCAGCCTACCTACCTCACAAAGTGTGTTGTATTAAATAAAATAATGCATAAAAGGAACACTGTAAATTGTATAGTTCTAATCAAATACTGTTTATGAACCAATGGCTGTATGTATCTGTGACCCTAATTAACCTATAATCTGAACACTCCTTCCCGTTAACTAATACATGGCAGAATGAGAAAAATCACCATGGATTAGATTCTTTAGTAAGAACTCTAAGGTGGGTTTTTCCTTAGGGTGGCTAGCTGTTGCCCAGATCTGGAAGACCTTCATTTGGCCTTGTTCTTTCTAGAGTCATTTCCTATTGTATAATGAAGATAAGGTCAATTAACAACTTCCAATATTGAAATACTATGACTCTTGAATTTCTTTCTCAAAGTTGACTATGAATTGGTAGTAATATGACCATCTTCTTAAAGGGGAGTTTCATCATAGCTAATGAAGTTGCCACTGAGAGATTTCTGATCTATTTTGTTTTTAGAAGTTGAAAATGAATGTGGTATAAATATAATAGAAAATTTCATGCTATTTAATAGTATAAGCCCAGAAATGCTTAGCTAAAGATAAATGTGTGGGTTGTTTGTACCCAGTTTTGTGTCTTTGTCTAAGACTTAAGACAAATTCGTATCTTAACTAATAAATCTTAGTAGAGTATATCTTAACTAAAGCACAAACTTAAGATCAGTGGATAGATTGAATCTCAAAGTAATCATGTATATGATTTTTTTCATTCATAGAGAAGTGTAAACCAAAAAAAACCCCAAAACTATCATGTCCCCAACTACCCTCACTAATAAACAAAACAGATAAAAATTTTTAGAGAATTATTTGTTCTAAATAGTTTTCTATTCTAAATATCTGTGGCTTTAAGGAAAAACAGCACCTGCTAGTAATTATTTTAAAAGGGTAGAATTTGTCATATTGTATTTACTATTGGACTTTCAAAAATTTAAAGAATTAAAAAAAATTAAATCGCTATGTACAAACAGTAATGTACAATAATTAATATAAAACTTTGGTAATTCAACAAATAGAGTTTTCAGGGGTATCAGCAGGTAAATATAAATATTTTGTATAAGTATCAAACATTTATCTTGCCTGTTTTTCTTCTTTATTATCTAATCAAAACATTGTGCTTTGCATAAAATGTAGTTGGAAGTAGATGAGTATTAAGGGATCCATTTGTAGAATTCAGTCTTAGGAGACTTTTTTGGTGACACACTTACTTTTATTGGATAATTAGTTGAAAATGTTGGTCACTGGTGCACAGTTTAGTTTTAAGATGAGATGGGAAGGAAAACACAAAATTTTGCAGGTTATGGGCATTCTTAAATGCACTGTTAAAATTAATCCTTCAGAGATGACTTCTGTTTTAGAAGAATGTATTTAAAAATACTGTTGACTGATGAATCCAGATCCTCACAGAACGGCACTATTCTGTTTTTTGACAGTTCTAAGTATTTTTATATGCTTCTTAATGGCTATAATGAATTTGGGGGCACTGAAGAAAGTGATTTTTTAAAGTTCTCAGGTATTGTTCAATTATTTAATATTAAATGAGATGTCAAGATGCAATCATTTTTTTAAATGTCTGCATTTTATTGTACAGAATATTTTATTACTTTTGTAATTTTGAATTCAATGATTTTTGTGTGTGTGGTAATATAATAAATGGAAAAATTCTAAAACCATCACTAAAATTTTGTTTCTATTTGACTTCAATAATACTGAGATTTTCTTCATATTTATAGCATTCCTCTTACAGGGAAAGGTAGTTCTGGTTGCTTAGAAACATTAGGCATTTTTTCAGAATGCTGTAGCTGAATATACTTGCATATGTAACTGTCCTTTGAAATGATAATTTTGTAGAGTACTGAAATGTTCTTTTTAAAAGATTTTCATTTTCTGCCTTCCTGACTTAGTTTCTGCTTGTCTTCTTTCCTGAATGATTCAGGACAAAAGTCATTTGCTTACAGGTAGATATTGCCACAGGAGGTGGAGGTGGTGAAGGGGCCTAGTGTGGAATTTCAGTGTGGATCCTGAAAACATTTGAGAGTAATAGAGGGGGAGTGGGGAGTCTTGGTGAACTGGAGTAAGGATGTGGCAATAGGAGATGGGTTATTTATGTGGGGGACTGATCTATTAAGTAAATATATTAAGGCTAATGAGAACCAGATTTCTCACTGTCAGAAAGGACCTACAAATATGGAAAGGGAGAAAACTAGAATAAGGTTGGAATTGGAAGTACTGGTCTGGTATACACTCATAGTTTTCAGTGTATGTAGACGAATACAGCTGTGTGTGTGTGTGTATGTGTGTGTGTGTAGCAATGAGCATACCTAGTGCCCAGATCTTGGTTTCTGAATATCATTTTCCACTAAAAGCAATCAGTTGTTTAATTAGAGAAATAGCCCATTCCAGGACAGATGTAGATGAAATACAAGATGAGCCTGGAGTGTCTTTTTGCATTAGAAAGTAAGAACATGCTCCAAGAATGATGGGGAATGTCAAAAGGACACAATAATTGATTCAGGTGGAAATCTTAAATAAATGCTAAAACTAGTGAGTGGAAGTCTGATGGTCTCCCTACAAGATACTTACTAATTAAAGGATAAAAGTAAAGATGCTTGGCAGACACTATCTTCATTCACTGTTCAACGCCCAGTTATCAGTAAGTGAACAAATCAAAATTGTGTGACACCTGATAAGATGCAAGATGATCGTCTCCTGCGGTATTCTTGCTAGAAAGGTACAACTTGAATCTAATAATAGAGAATATTAGGCAAAGCTAAATGGAAAAACCGTCTACAAAACAACTGGCCTGAAATCTGCAAAAAATGTTAAGTATGGAAGGCTGAACTGTTCCCAGATTGGTGGAAACAAAAGAGACAATAGTTAAATGCAAAGTGTGATCCCTTGACAGTGAAGAAATTTATTGGGATAACTGGTGAAACTTGAGTGGGTTCTGTGGATAACAATAATATCAGTGTTAATTCCCTGAGTTAATAGTTATACTACTGTGAAGTAGAAGAAGGAATTCCATGATAATGTATTTAGGGTGATGGACATTGTTGGCTTAGTGGTCAAGGAAAAAAACGGCTCTTTGTAGTTCCTTTGCACTTTCCTATGAGAAAAAATTTTTAATGTTATTATAAATGTAATATTTTTTCTATAATAAAAGTACCATTTCAAAAAATCAACTCAGATAAACAGTTTATTTTCTTATGTGGACAAAAATCAAGAATAGAGCTCAAAATCTAAGTAGAATATTTTTCTCTTTGGAAATGGAAATTTAACTTCTAAATTTACTTTGCATAACTTGTAATCATTTATCTTACTTGGAAAATTTTCCATTTTACCAAACTTTTTTTGCTTTTCTAGGTATTCAGAGTTGATTTTTTTCTACACTAAATCTCAGACTATATTTGGGACAGAGAGATAAGAAGAAGTACAAAGGGCCTTTAAGTGTTACTAAAAATATTTTAAATTTAAACAAAGCTATAAATATTAGATCACAAAACTAATTTTAAAAATTTTATATAGGCAAAAGTGAAACTATAGTACTCTCATTACTTAAGGTTCCCAGTTCTGCCTAAAGCAAAGACCTATGTTAATTTTTAACAACCTGTATCTCACAGTTATATGAACATTTGGAATAAATATTTACAGCTAATGTTTACTCTTTGCTTGAAATTTTGCATAATCTTTGGAACAGAATTTAAGAACTGAAAGTCTTCTAATTTAAGTTTTAAATTGAGGTTCTTAGTTCTTCCATTTTGCAGATACATTGAATTCAAAGCTGAGCCAAAAAAGAATCACACAGAAGACTGTCTCTCCCAAATTACGTAGATCTCTTTCACAAAATTTCCCCAGCAACTGAGAAACATTCACACAAAAGTTATTACCTTTTTTTCAATTTTATTTCTATTATCCCTTTCTCATTTTCTGGCATTGAAAAATACTGAAAAAAAGTTTTTGGTATTATTTGCATAATTAAATCTTATTATGCATCTCTTCCTGTTTTCTAAAGTGACTAATACATCTTAGTATCTATAAGTATGTTTAATGAAGAGATGGGAGACTGAATAACCCAATACTATCCAAGTCACATGTTTTTAAAAATAAGCTTAGATAGTTGATGTAGGGTAATGGCAATTACTTAAATATTTAATTTTAATAAGACTCCTGTCTAAAACATTTAATGACACATCTTTTTTCTTTCAGTTTTGCTTAATGTTTTTCCTCATAGCACTAACTGATGATTAACTTACACAGCAAATGGTAATCATATATGATCATATGAAATATACTTGGGCTGGTTTTTGTTAAGTTCCTTGATTTGGTATCTAAATTTCCAAAAGTCAGTTCTCATGGTTATGTGAGTTTAAATTGCATACTTGGGTGCCTCCTTTGCACAGCAGGTGCTCAATAATAAGGTTTATTGGAAATGACCCTATAGACCAGGAAAACTGAGTTCTAGTCCTACATATGGAAGTAACTAAACTTTGGATAAGTCACTTAATTTCTAGTCTTTGGTTATCATATTTATAAAATGGAGATGATAATACCCTACCTACTTAACAAAATGTTTGAAATTGGGTAATATATTGAAGCACTTTGGAATAAAACCAGTTTATCTTTTGACTAGAAATGTCAGTTTTTTAGAATCTTATCCCTGGGATTGAAGTTACTGAAGGCACTCATGTCTCTTATTTAAGAGATTTATGCAAGTTTCTTAACTATGTTATATGCCTCATTACCTAAGGTTTTACTTTCCCTCCCCAGGAAGGAAATGCATTGACAATTTTAGATTGCCAAAATAGTAACCTGAATTCATTAAGATTTATGACAGATCACACCAAAAACTACTTATGTAATAGTTTGCTTGAAGCTTACTGGGAAAAATATTAATGCCAGGTTTGCATTTTATATCTTAGAATACTATAGGATACAGTGCTGCATAAATCTAAATATAACTTATCAAGATCATTAAAAAAATTTTAGAACACGATTTTAAAGGTGGTAGGTCTCTTGTGCAGGGAAACTTTGCTAAAAGAAATTACAGTTTCTCAGATTATCAGAAAATGTGTCCTGTTTGTACACCTCTCTAAAATTTAGAGAATGGTTTCATTCATACTTTGGCATGTGGGGGGTTGGAGAGGGAACAATAAAAATCATAAGACATCCTTTGAACAAATTAGCACTAAATATAGATATATAGATCCTGAGATATTACAAGAAATTAAAAAATACATAGATCAACATGATCTAAATAGTTGCCAAGACACTGTTAATGGTGAGTAAACAGCCATTTTACAGTGTATGCTGAATTGATGTCCACAGCGTGCCACGAAAAACCCTGCTCTGTTTCCAAATTTGAAAGCTAGTCATCCAAAGCAGGAGGCCAGTCAACATCTACAGACTAGAAAGAAGAAAACAAGTCATTAAAACATTACTGTTGTAGTAAACATTTCTTGGTAATACTGTATAAATTAAATAATTTTAATGTGAAGCAACAGAAGAAACTGCATTGAAGAATAGTCAGTGGCTACCACAATTTAACACTCTAAAACCCACTCCCTGACTTGGGGTTCTTGGGCCAAAGTTCTGTTCCTGAATTCATTTAGTATTTGGTTACTCGGTTATTAATTGTACCTTTTGACTCACAAGAGACTAGAGTACATTTACATTTTTTAAATGTTATTTATAGGTAAAGTAGCAAACAAATTCAGGTGGCAACACCAACTTGCCCTCACAAGTCTGAGCAACTTTTGTTATGATCATTTTCATTTTCATTTTCTCATCTTGCATTTAACATACTCAAGCAGTCTACACTTTTGAGTCTCATTTGTAACTGAGCAAATTTGAATAAATGAACATAAGCCATCACCTGGAACTAGAAAAGGTTAAGGATCATTGTGTATCACTTTGGCAGAATTTTTGTTTCTTTTAAAATTGTCTGTCTCTACTGACCCTGATTTGGCTCTTTTAGAAAAAAAACCTTGATTTTCAAGTGATAATGAAATTACAGTATCAGACTGTCTCCACATAAATAATCACATTCCAGGCTTTAGAAATAAGCAGTTACATCTCATCTCAACTACCCTAGAGAGACTGATTTAGGAGAAACTTAAAAAATCCACTACACCCATGTTTTTTTTTTGAGACTTAATATTTAAAACCTGAAATGATTTATGAAAAATGACTTTTAAAATTCATCTATGAGTCATTACCCATTTCCAAAAAATATTAGAAAAGCCCAAATGACTACTGCATGTGTGTATCTTTTACAAATCCCAAGGAAATATTTTGGTTCTGCTTTAGAACATAGCCATATACCAAACACCCATATACAAGTTAACGGGTAGTTTCTCAAGCCCAAAAACTAAACATCACTGATCACAATATTGTATGTGTTGAGGGAGGGGAGGATAGGCATGTTTTAGGGTTTAAAAAGCTGTGCAGGTGGCTCCAGTGGCCAATTAGAGCTGAAAAACACTAAGACTCTGACTCCTAAACTGTTTTAAGAATAGAGATCAAAGATGATGAATGAAGCTGGGGTTTTCTTTAACAGGAGGTTGTCTTCCCCAGTAAGAGGGCTCCCTGCAGCCTTGAAGGTGCTGTCCTAGCTGTACTGCGGAAGCTGCATGCAGTTCAATCTGCAAGCACTCAGGAGAATCGCTCGTAAGGCAGTAATTCTCCAGCGATCATTTGATTGCATACCTGTTTTCATACTAGGCAATTCTACCCACTTTTTTTTTATAACCGATGCCTTCCAACGTGCAAAATGCTAGCCTCACCTACAAATTTTTTGTTGTGAGGGGAAACACTGTTCCTAATTGGTTATTCTTCAAGGAGCACGCCTTGTAACTCAATACCTATTGATGCTCAAATAAAAATATTTGTGGAGAACTGCCTGAAAAATCCATTCAATCCATTCTTCTAATTACTTAAGAATTTAACCTTGTTTCAATTCAGACTATAAGAACAGAATTTGGACTACATCATAGAGGTCCCTTATAGAAGTACTTTTATTAATAACCACTGATGAAAAATCATCCCATTTTCTATTCCTGTCCTGAATTTATGTTTCTGAGTAGGCTTCCTTAAATTATTTATAAAGCAAAATGGGTATGGGAATGAAGTCTCCAGTGCAAAGGACATATGAAGGGCACTTAGATGTCATTTCCTTGCTTGGTTTAATGGTTTAGATCCATGCCATATATAAAGTACAGTTAGTAATTTAGTTATATATTTGCAAGGATCATAAATGAGACTTCAAATTTTTAAAAAAGAAAAGTTCCAGAGATAGCCCCTCCATGCAATACAGTGCTACTGTGAGATTCTAACCATTGTCAAACACCTATTAATGTGATAGTACTATTTGACTTAATGCCAAAAAAACGTAACCTTGGCTGAATTCAATGTGCATATGGCATTTCTGCAATAAAATGGTTTACCTCAACATCCAGTTCAAGAATGTCTGCAGTCACATTCATCAGAGAGCCAATGTTTGGCTTGGTCCTCCCAAAGTCTCCATGTACAAACTCTTTAATGTAGCTAGGGTTTGTTTAAGGAAAAAGTGAAGATCACAGTGCAGTACCAACTCTTTGATGAGGTTTCATGGGTGAAAGAGAAATGATAAACAAAAGCAGAAATATTAAAAAAGACAGGTTATTTCTGAGCTGTGACTTGTGATATGTATTGTTGAAAATGAGCTACAGCAAACTGGTTCCGACTAGCCTGGCAGCCAGTATCAGCATCTGGGACCTGTGTTTACATCAAACTTACCAAGAGTCATGACTCTTTTTCCTTTAGCTCATCTCCAAGTGCCAAGGTTTAATTATGGATTTTTTAAAATTAACTAGTTCGGTGCCTGAAAAAAAAAAATTTTTTTTCTTTGCCACAAATTATATTTTGTTACCATTTTTGTTTCCATTTGCCAATAATGGCTGCTGCCATCTGTCAAATGGTGTATTTCCACAGGGTCACAAATAGTGTGTTCTCAGTGATGGCTTTCCTTATAAGTGACCTAGTGACACAATGGTAATAGGATGGGAGGGATGATGATAATTTACTCTTGATGAAGGCCCTTCAAAGGAGTATCAAAGGACTTAACATTTAGTTGTTTGCAACTCTTACACAGCAAGAAAATTAAGTTAATTCTCTTTTTTTTTAAAGGGCAATTTTTGTTTCTGTCATAGGTCTGCAAATTTTGAAGTCAATGATTAATCCTATAATTAGTTATTAAGATTACATTAACATTCCTTAAACTCTAGTACAGCCTTGAAAATATCTAAAAGATAAGTTTTTACCAGCATTCACTAAAAATTCATTCAGCATTTTGCTGTGTTCTATAAACCAGCACTTGGTATAAAAATTTAATACAATTTGAATAGAAAAAGTTTATTCTCAGATGATAAATAATAAAAAATTAACACCATAATATGCTGATACAATGTCCTCACTTTCTGAAAATTTATTCAACTCTTTCACCAAATGTTTTGATTCAGGCATAAGACATAATTATCTAGTAACCATATTCTTTGCTAAACTCGTAATTACTCAGTCGTTACTCCTCTCTCATTCCTTCAGAGAATACTGCGGCTGAGTAGCAGTGATGAGGGGAGATGACCAAGAAGCCCCAGAATAATGAGTTAAAGGGTCTAGAACGGTTCTTATTAACAGCCAGAGGGACAATGTATACATCACATGAACTAACTCGGTGTACTGAACAATGTATGTGAAAAATTCATAGTATCTAAAGCTTTACCAAATAGTCTTTCTTAGCAAACACCTTAAGTACATGTACATGACTGGTTCTACAAATGTTTTAATGAAATTGAAAGTACATTAGCTTCTCCAAAACACCACTGCATCTCTCCCTAGCACACCAAAACAAAAGCTGGGATTAGGTAAAAAGATGTTTTTTAAATCTGATTTTTTTGAAATCCCATCCACATTCCATCTATAATAGGCAAATGTGCTCCAAACAACTACAGCAATATAGTAAGAATGCTATTTGATGATTAACACATTTTTTTCCTTATATCCATAAGTGTATCATTAATTTTATACTAGTTAGAAGGCATTTTATCATTTCATGCTTATTGGATCACAAAACCAAACCAAAAACAAACAAGTAGGAGCACCTTCAAAAGTAAACTAAAGCTAAGAGTATGGTAGCTCCCTCGTAAATTTTAGTCAGCAACTCAGATCTGATACAAAACCACTCAATGCAGTATAGTTTATGAAAAAGTGATCAGCTTTGGACTATTCTCTGGTTCTGGGTCAATGGCCAAATAAAATGAAGATCAATATGTAAAGTGGGAACACTCCTACCTACCATCAGTGCTTAATTATCTGGGGCAAATGCTGAAAGGACCCAAATGTGGGCATGAATAAGTGACTTGCAAAATGTGTAAAGATATGAATCAGTGAATCAATCAAAAGTGTTTCCCACAGTAAAAGTGTATGCACAGCATTGCATGAAACACTGTAAATATTTTACAGTTCACATTGAACTGGTGGCTGCCTCATGGTTTAAAATGTCATTTTGAAAAACACAAATTTAATGGAAAAAACACCACTTTTTCCCCACCAAAAAAAAGAATTCTCCAACCTAACCCTTCCCCTAATTATTGCTAGGTCAAGTTGAACCTATTTTCTAGGGCAGCATGAACTCTTCCAATACAGTTCACGTTAAGATTATTGCTCTGCAGGAGGTGAAAGGATACGTTCCAGCTTGAGTCTTCAGGTAGAGGCGAAAATGATGCTCGTCCACATAGTGCGTTTCCATGGAGTGAATGATGCGGGTTCTCACAGCCAGGGGCCTCCGGTGAAGGACCCGTAGGGGTGTTTTCTGGTCAATCTTTAAGTCCTAAAGGAGGATATGAGACACAACCATGGAGTCAGCTTTGCTGCCCAGTGAAGCCTTTCTTAGTACCTCCTGTGTCATCCATGGCTTACCACAGATGTTTTCTTTAGAGGACCCCTTCCATCACTCTCAGGGTAGAAACTAACATGATAATAAATTGTATCCTGTAAGATTCAAACTGTGGGACTTCTCATAACCTAGTTTATAATTACTCATATTCTGGGCCCTAGTACACCATAAAAAAGGCTTTGAAATAAATGATCCCCAAGGTTTCTTTTGCTCTGATATTTAACAATTTATTAGGACCCTGGAGTTCTTTCTGCCCTCGACTTTAACAGAGCTCTTCTAGAAGACATGTTCTTACCTTTTATTTCTAACCCAACAGAATGACCTAATAGGTAAGCTGAGATAAGAAATGGGTGTTTTAGAAAGTGGGACATCAGCATCACTTGTGTGTATGTTTTAGGGAGAAACATATACCTAATCACAGTTATTTTTTTGGTTATATGAAGGATATATCTGGAAAATTAACAGTTGCATCACTGTTTAGGGTGTTATTTCAATATACTAATTAGAATTAAACCAGGACCTCTCAGTATTTGCTAGCCCAGTTCAAGTTACTTGAGATTAATGATACTGCATGTCTTTTTCCAACTCAGATTTTTTAGGGATATGAACTTGTTTTTCTCGTGATTAGAGATTTCATTTTCTGTCACAAGATATAAATTAAGAAATAGAGGTTAATACTGGAAAAGGCCATCTAATTCCAAGTCTTAAAAATAGATATTGGGCATAACCAGAAATGTAGGTTCTTAAGAACTCTGCAATTTCTTGTTGGAACAACCCCTTCCTGAAGTACATGATTAAGAAATGCCCGAAGCCATGCTAAGAAAAGAAAGACTTCTGTCTGCTCTCCTTTCTACCACGAAAGAAAGAACAAGTTCTGACAAAGACTACACTTGAAATGGTATGACTGCTTTTATCAAAGCAGTAAGTCAGTGGCCCCTCCCAACTCATGGGTTTTGTGATTCTGAAGTTCTTTTATTTTTAGAAGGAATTTGTTCTGATGAGATAAGAGGTCTCCATAAGATTTGACATTTCTCTGGCCAAAATGACTAAAACAAGGACAAGGCTAGACTATTAAGGAATCTAAAGATGTGGCCTCCACTTTATTCATTCTTTCATTCATTTATTTATTTTAGACATATCATTAATACACAATCTTATATTGGTTTCAAATATACAACACAGTGGTTCACTAGTTACCCATATTATTAAATCCTCACCGCCACTAGTACAGTTACTATCTGTCAACATAGAAGGATGTTACAAAACCATTTCCTATATATTCTCCATGCTGCATTTCCATCCCTGTGACCAACCTATATTATCACTGAGAAAGTTTGTGCCCTTTTATCCCCCTCACCCTCCCTACCTCAACCCCTCCCCCATGGTAACCACCAGTCACCTCTCAGCATTCTATGAGTATACTGTTATTTTGTTTCTTTTGTTTTGCTTTGTTTTTATATTCCACAAACAAGTGAAATCATAATGGCATTTGTCTTTCCCCACCTGCTTATATAATACCCTCTAGGGCCATCCATCTTGTTGTAAGAGTCAGATGTGGCCTCCACTTCAGAGTACAGGAAAGCTGGCCTTTAAATGAGTGATGACGGAGTACTCTTCTCCCCTTTCCTTTACCTCTAGTCGTTCCCAGGACTTTGACCCAGGAGCCAGTCAATGGATGTACTAACGGAGCTTCCAACATAACACTCAGACCAGCACACACTCACGTCTGTCTTTTGGTCTGCTTGTTTTTAGCAGACAGAAGGAAGCCACCTCATTTACTCTAACATTGTCTTTCCTGTCCCCATACTGCTGAATTTTCAGAAACACATATAAACACACACAAATGATTTTTTTTTCTTAGAAGTAGGTTTCCTTAAAAAGAAAACAAGTATAAAAATTTGAAGTGACTTTTCACTCAGAATGGGGCAGTAACTAACTTTTTAATATTTAATATCAGTGGGAATATTTGAAAACTGTTTAAACCTAACACTTAAAAAAATTATTAGAAGTCAACTAGTCTCATTAGTCCACTTGGGCTGTAGACAATTAAAATAGGTTTTTTCACTACTTAGTCTGTACCTACAAAAATCATCTTCTGGCATTACTTCTGAATTAGCTCTATGGCTACTCCTGTGAATCTATTTGCAAAATGTATGCATTTTCCCCATAGCATTTTGAGTGACCTGTATACATGGAATGGAACAGAAGTTTAGAAATTTGTTTTGCAATTTTAAAGAAATCTGTCTATATAATGTAACTATCATCCTGACGTCCCTAGAAAATAGGGCAAAAAGGGCTTCACCTATAGAGCCACAGAACCTGAGAACCAGAAGACCTACCTGGGGGATCTGGCCCATCCCCTCCCATTTTATAGATGAACTTCTCTGAGGAGGTAAATGAATTGTATATTTTCACCAAAATATTCATATTATAAACATTATTCTGCATTGCTTTTTTTCTGGAAATGCCATGTGTGTTTCTACAAGTCACAGAGATAGACCTACCTCCATCTCCTTTTCCAACAATTTTAGGCATATGGACACATAATAATATAAATGGGATCACATGCTGCTTTAGTTTTTTTTAATAGCTGTATAATATTCCAAATAGTTCTACCACTGCCTTACTTAAATTCACTTTGTTTTCAGTTTTGTTATTAATTTTGCCACTTTGGACAAAGTTGGTAAACATCCTTATGGGTATGTCCTTATACACTGGAGTTTTATTTCTTCAGGACAGAATGCCAGTAGTGGAAGTGCTGGGTAGAAGACCAGTATGTTATTAACTTTTATAGTCACTGGCACTTTGTTTTTTTAAAAGGCAGAAACACTTTGTATATCTACTGACAATGTATACAACCAGGCTTCTCCATTTCAGCAAAGAGGTGTTACCAGACTCAAAGGAATAAAGTGATGTCTTATGGTTACTTCAGTCTGCAGGTAGGACATCTTTTCAAATGATTCTTGGCCACTTGGAGTTCCTCTTTTGAGAGCTGCCTGTTCATCTCCTTTGTCTATTTTTCTCTATTGGGTGTTTATACTTTTAATAAACATAAATCCTACTTATGGTATCTTTTGCCATATAATTTGTTCTCTACATAGTCATATATATAAGTATATACACACAGACTCTGAGTGTCTGTTTCATCACAGTGTACCACCCTGCATATACTCTTATAGCTTGTTTTTTCCCCTTAGCATTTATCAGGAAAATTTTCCTTTATCAATAAATATTCATCTATCACATGATTTCTGACAGCTGACTAGTAATGGTTCATCCTACAGATAAGCCATAAGATTAAACCAGTCCCCTCTAGTATCATCTAGATTACAAAATATTGTACAATATTTAAACAGTGTTGTGATGACTATATACATTTTTACACCCACTATGCTCATTCCTTGCATTTTAAAGTAAATTATCTTTACAGGAAGAGGTAGGGGTAGGTGGGAAGAAATTTGCAAATGAACAGGCAGATCCTCTACAGTAACATGCTCCTGTGAAGGAACACCTAGCATGGGCCAAATATTTGTGCTCTATTTCATCTTCTTTTATTTATTTATAACATGTTTTATTTTATTTATGTACTTAATCTTAGCATTAACTCAATAGATAAGTTCTATCTTATATTTCCTTTTTACTTATCAATAATATAACAATAGATAGCACTGATGAGGTTTTTCTATGTGCTGGTCACTGCTCTAAGTGATTTATATGACTAAATGTATTTAATTGTTCTAACTGATTTTATAGATGAATAAATTGAAGCATAAAGAGGCTGAGCAACTTGTTCAAAGTCACACAAATAAGAGATGCAGAGCGAGGATCTGCACCCAAGCAATGTATCCTCAGGTCAGACCTGTAAGTCCTGGCAGCGCTGCCTCTCCAGTAGGTTAGATGAGTTGCCCAGCCACTCAACCAGTAAATGGCAAAGCCAGGATTTAAAACTGGGTCTCAGTCCCCAGAGCTTTTCCTCTGTGACATGCTGATAATAAACTGGAAGATAGAGGACTCTTATAGGTAGTAGAATAATAAAATTAAAAGATTTAGAGCCTTAAGTACCTTTATATCATGTAGAAAATCAATGTCTTTCTTCTGTATTGCTTTATTTGTCCATATTAAGGCACTGTAGGACTTGGTCTTCTCTTCTTCACCTTCTTTCATATGTCCTATTGCCTCTCTAAACAAAAACAATAAAAGAAAGTTTATCTGAGTATATAAAATACACACAAGCCTTGCTCCAAACTTCCCATTCTTTAAAATGACTTTATTGAGGTATAGTTAACATGGAATTCCCATATTCAGTTCAGCAGTTCTTAGTAAGTTTACAGAGTTGTGCAGCGATCACTACGATCTAACTTTAGAATATTTTCATCACCCCAAAAAGAAACTCTTTACCTATCTGCAGTCACTTCCCATTCCCTGTTTCTTCCAGCCCTTGGCAATCACTGATCAACTTTTTGTCTCCACGGATTTTCTTACTTTTAACATGTCATATAAAATGGAATCACATAGTATGTGATCTTTGGTGTCTGGCTTCTTTCACTTCATAATGTCAAGGTTCATCCATTTTATAGCATGTATCAGTACTTCATCCCTTTTTATTACAGAGTAATATTCCATTGTAATGGCTATACCATCTTTTATGGATAATTGAGCTGTTTCTACCTTTTTGCTATGAAGAATAATGCTACTATGAACAGTCATGTAGAAGTGTTTGTGTAGGAATACATTTTCATTTCTCTTTCATTATCATATCTAGAAGTGGAATTGCTAGCTCATATGGTAATTTTATGTTTAACTTTTTGAGAAACTGCCCAACTGTTTTCTAAACTGGCTGCACTTAACAATCCCAGAGCAATAAATGAGGGTTCCAAGTTCTCCATATCCTTGTCAATAAGGATTATTATTTATTATCAGGGTTATTTTCTGTCTTTTTTATTATAGCCATCCTAGTGAGTGTGAGATGGGATCTCACTGTGGCTTTAATTTGCATTTCCCTAATGGTTAATGACACTGAGCCTTTCTTATATTCATTGCTTATTTCTATATATATCTTCTTTGGAGAAATGTCCACTTAATAATCTCCCCATTTTTCATTGGTTTGTTTTCTTATTATTGAGTTGTAAGAGTTCTTTATATACTCTGAATATAATTCTTTTATCAAATACATGATCTATAACTAAAACTTCGCTTTGGAAATCATCTCCAGGAAGCCTACCCTTACCTTGTGACAAGCTGCAAGTCACGGACTTGGATTTTGTTAGACGAGTTATTAATTTTCTGTAGTAGCAGAAAAAGAAAAAATTAGCAATTCTCGTTCAGTTACAGAGTTACAGAAACATGACGATTTCCATGTCATGAAGTGGTTTACCTGCTGAAGTTCCTTAATTTCTTGTGAAGTGAAATGTACTCTATGAGGATTCACCAGCTCAATTGCAAAGGGCCTTCCTGGCAGCACACACCCCGTCATGAAACAGAAACGTGTTGATGGAGTTAACATTTGAGCTAATGCAAGAGGGTTAGGAGGTGTGAAAAAACGAGTTGAGCTCTACAGGACTGAAAGTTTAGTGACAATGACTACATCTGGGGGAGGGAAGAATGTGTGAAAAGAATCAAGGGGCTTTCTGGGCGCTGTTAAACCCTAGCACCGGCAATCTGTGAAAATGGCTGCTTTCCCAAAGGTCCATGAACAAGCCTGTGTTAATTACAAAATAAAATCCAAACCATCACTAATTGTCTTAATGACACAAATGTACAATTGTCACACACAGCACTGCCCAGGTACGCCAAGTTGAACCCATCCTCATAGCCTATTCACTAGTTACATGGAAAAGCTGTGAGTCCATGAGAAGAAGAGACTATAAATCTCAAATAGCTCAGGAGGAACTTTCATATTCTTTCTTCTAATACAACAATGTAAAATGAGAGAAATGAAGGCTAAATAAACAGCATCCCTTTTTAAATGAATATGTGCATTTTGAAAACTATTGGTACTGCTGAAATGTTAGTAAATGGAATGGTAAATAATCAAGCTTTTGGAAAAAAATCAGGCATCTCCTTGTTAATGTTCAGAAAGACCCTTTATAACCTACAGGTGTGCAATAAGGATGGCTTCTGAGGAAAACGATGCCTGTTAAAACATGACCATATGGTTTACAAAGGTAGCTCCGTAATCCATAAAGCTTCCTTACTTGGAGAAGCTCTGAGCTCTGCCCACTGTAGTTTTGATTAGATTTCAGTAAATATGCTGTCTGAAAAGGGTGATAATCTGAAAGTTAGTTCTAGTCAAGTAATGCTGTTACAGTCTTACCATTTCCTAATGTTCTCACATCTACATCTTCTCTTCCAGAGGATGAAAAATTAAAACCTTTTCAAAGCAGGAAAAAAAAAATCAGACACATAATAGTCCTAGAACTTCCACTCCCAGCCTTTTGTAGAAACCTAATTTGTCTAGAAAAATCCACAGGAGAATGCCAAGGGATAGTCATCATCTCATCTCTAATCCCAATCCCTTCTAATAATAGCAATAATAATAATAAATACCATTTATTGAGCACTGATTTATGCCAGGAACTAAGCTAAAAATTTTACATACATTATTTTATTTAGTCCTTACATAACCTTATAAAGTAGGTATTTAGTTAAAGAACACCAAGCTTCTGAAAGGTTAAGTACTTTTCTCAAGGTCACATGATTAAGTAGCAGAGCTAAGATGTTTCTGATGTCAAAGCCAGACCTTAATTATTATCCCACACTACCATCCCCTGGGAAAGCCGAAGGCAGGGTGCTGTTCGGAGGAAGGCCCTGCCACTAACCCAGTCACAAGCTTATGGCGAAAAATCTATCATCTTCATTCTTTTTCTTTAAAACAAAATAAAGCACAAACATTTACTTGAGAATTAAACACTGTGAGAGGAAGGGGAAGGGAAAAAAAGTTTGACCCTAGAAGCAAATTTATTGCATAAGCAAATCTAAGATGGGATCACAATAAAGTGAGTGTCCATGCTAAGATAGTGATCCACAAACTAAAAGCTGCAAATATGGGAAAGGGAAATTGGTTTAAAAAAGGGGCCGTGGAATGGTGGCGGTTACATAACAACGTTTATAGACACCGACCTGTATGATCTTGCCATCATCACCATAGCAAGCATGACCCCGAGGAGGCATCATTTCAAATGCTTTCTGTATGTTCATACTATAAGGTAAGTACTGTCATTACCCCCATTTCACTTACAAGGAAGGTGAAATGGAGACAGGATAAGTAACCTGCCAAAGATCACAGTACTGGTAAGTGGCAGACTCCAGAGTCTCTCTGCCCCCGTGCACACTGCACTGCCACCAAGCCGGTGGGAAGTGCTCAGAGCCATGCCCACAGGGAAAGCTAGGTCAGCCTTCTGGGACCAGGGGTGGCAAAGGTTGGGATGTCTGAGGAACCCTCATCAGTCATTAGGGTTTGGTAAAGTTTAAGGTCTCTGAACATAGAGCTTGAAGGCTAGGACTCAGGCTCACATCCTGTTTTACTTATTCAGGAACAAGTATCTTTGGATCTATGGCGTGTATGTGCAAGGCACTGTGCTAGATGCTGGGGAGACAAGGGTAAACAAGATGGACATAGTCCTTCTTGCAGAGCCTACTGTCTTGTGGCGGGACATGGACTGTAAGACAGCGGGTAGCACTGGCACAGGAATAGTACAGGAATGCTCCAGCCCTAGAGGCACAACTGCAATACTAGCTGTGAGCTTTGGATGTGCTCCTTGGTGGCCCGGCCACTTTGGAGAGCACAGACAGGGGAGAACAAGATTGTTGGGAAGAACAGATGGGAAACGCAGACAGACAGTGAAGGCCATTTTGACGCCATTCTTCTCCCAGGAAAGATTATATGCCAAGGTCCCATGTAGATTTTAGAAAAAAGGTTTGAAAAGTCCTGTGAAAACTGTACTGCAGATTAACAGGGATCTTCAGCTGTAATGCAAGTAGTATTTCACCCTTCCATCACCTTTAGGAAATCCCTTCAGCGAGCCAAGGCCAACACACTTGTTGGAAAGATAGATTCTTTGTTGCATGTCATGAACTGCCAGGGTAAAGTGGGCTCCTCTCTGCCCCTCGGGGTACAAAGCTGTGGGTCTCACAGAGAGAAGCAACCAGGGCAGTCAGGTGAGGGCTAGAGCTAGTTAGGCTCAGAAGTCTGGCTAGCCTGTGCTGCATTACCACCCAAGGACGGGTCAAGCAGGCAGCTGTACGGGACACAAGGCCAGGGTCGTCTCCAAGCAGAGAATCCAGGCCAAACAGGGAGTAGGATTCTGTGGACCATTAAGTCCCAAAGAACCTTCCATTCCATGTTTATACTCCACTGTTAAGCAGCTAATAAACCCAGAGCAACATCAGTAGCTTCCAGTTAGAGTCAATAGACAAGAGTGATGCTAAGTAGGGATGGACAGCTACATGGAGAGTTCCAGATGGTGCCTGGGAAGCTGAAAGATACTGGCTCCCAGCGGCTGTGGTTTGTTTTACACCTGTCCAGTTCCATCTCCAAACCATCCATGAGGTCAAGGAAACGGGATCCACAGTGGCTGAGCCATAACCCATGACCGGTAGGGGTAGAGAGACTGAACAGGACACACAGAAACAGGTCTACCACTGAATCAGACCAGAAACCCCAAATTCATAAATTAGCTTATAAAAGTTCCCAAAAAGAGTTTGAAAATATTTTTTTGTGCTAAAGCTTAATTTTTACTTCTTCACAACTTAGAGAAGTTTTATAAGATAACCAGAGTATAAATATTAAATTAAGTAGGTAAAATCTCATGGCAATAACAGTCTTAACTGCTAAAATTTTGGAAAACATTAGATAGCTAGGTTTTCTTCTTCTTCATTCAGTAAACAATTCTTAAAGACCCTTAAAAAGAGGGCCCACCTAGTTGATAGGCCACGAAACATAAGAGGGATGTGGCTTGAAGTACTTCTCTTTCCTCTCGAGCCGGTGAGCTGGCAGGGGCAGCCACCTCATCTCAGTCATTACTCACCAGTCCTAAAGCAGCCTCGCCTTAGGTTTTTCAGAAAGGAGGATGGATGTCTAGTTGGTTCCTCAAAAAAGGTGTCCTAATTATGCTAGGGTATCCACTTAAAGGAAATCATTACTTACTCAAGGCCTACAGTTTTTCCTTATGCACAGCATGATTTCCTAAGATTGAAATCTTAGTCCCTTTTCTCTAGGCTAATCAAGCCTAGTTGATAGCAAAAGGCTTTATGCTAGGCCTATTGAGACAAAGAAAACGTAAAGCTCACAGGATCTGACTCATCTTACAAACCTGGGGTCATTAATACCTAGGAAATTTAAACAACACAACTGCTATTAAGTCTTTGTAAAATGGTAGCAAGTGATGTATTTTCTCTAGGCTTAAACTTTCTCTCTCAACATTTTAGCAGTTAACATAGAAGCTAGGCATTTGCCAGTGATCATTCTTGAACAAACACTGGATGTGGCAGTTGTGTTTTAATTTCCTCATATTCCCAAAAAGAAGCTGAGGCGGAGGTATCCCAAGGTCAGAGCTTAGTATGTTCCCTTGAAGGAGTTTCGGTTGTTGTGAACTGGCCCAGGAAAGAGCAGTCCTTCAGAAAGAGGAAAGAAATCCTTGTGCCCTTGGCTCAAACCCAGCCCAGGTCAGAGGAGCTTAGGACATGAGACCTCCTAAATTTACAAAATTTAGAAATCTTTCCGTCACCTTTAAGAAATCTATTCATGAATCACAATATATTTAAAATATGAATGCTACAACACTTACTGTCTGCTTTGAATACTGTCAAAAGATGATCTGAAATTAATTCTTCCACTGAAGATTCCAGTTTCCTTTCTCCATCAATTATCCATGGAGTTTGTGGTAGATCCCTCGCATATTTATTGTATCTCCCTGCCAAAGAAATATTAAGGTGGCCTGGATGGGACAGTGTGATTGACACAACAGGATAAAAAGAAAAGCAACATCTACTGAGGGCCAGTACGTTAGGTGCCAAGACATAAAACAAGGCTTAGCCTTCAACTGACTCTCAATCTAACTTGGGGAGCCAGCACATAGATCTACAGATAATTAAATGAAAAGATTTAAGGTAACAATAGAAGAGATAGCTAAAGACATGAAATGAATCATCAAATGGATGTTCACTATACTCACTATCTGTTTGGCTGACCGAACAAGTTATAATATTATGGAACACACCAAAGATCATTAAAAGAAAAAGAGCAACTACTGCTTTTATGCCTGATTAATGATACTTTCAGTGTAATAGTCATTGGTGATAACATATTCCAATGAGTTCAAATACAGAAAATTTTGAAGTTTTGGTGATCAAGAAAAAAAACCACCCTAACGAATATGACTCACTGCTTTATTACAAAGCTACACTAAGGCAGGCAGCTTTCATTACCCGAGGGCAGAGTATTACAGTCAAGACTAATAAGCAATTTCATTTCAGCTATTACTAGGAAACAGCTGTAGCTTTCAAAACAAAAATTATCTACTAAATTACCTCTTGGGAACATCAATGCAACTATTTTTTCTTTAGGCAGAAACCAAGTCATTTCGTAAATAACAAAATTATTTTTTCAAGTTTACTTTCTTGTAAACAGCCTTTCCACAGTTGTGTTTCAGGTCTCTACGTGTACCTGCTATTTCTACTAGACCATCTCTGTTGGAAAAACAGTGAAAACCCGGGAAGTAGCATTTCGCTTTGGCATGGCATTTCAAGTAACAGATGTCCTGAGTGATCCTTAGAGTGCCTATGGGCCTAACACAGGCTTGCCGATCACTTCTAGTTCTCCTGAGAGTTAACTAATTGGAACAGAGGAACAACAATAAGAAGGAAAACAGAGGAACAGTTAGTTGAGTTTTTTCAGAATGTAGATTAAGTTAACAGTGTAAGAATATTCTAGACTAAATATTTTACCAGCCACAAAAACAGCACCATGAGCACACTCAATTTCAAGAACAGTGCATACAGCCTTTGGTGACTTTGGAGGACAAGGAAACTGCCTGCAAAACAAAATAAATTTTAAAGCTACTATTTTCTGGACATGATATTGAAGAACATAACTAGATGAATTCAGCATTGTCTGACACACACAGAGCCTAAGTCTCTCAAGGCCTAAGCCTTTCCCTAACTTTAAGTTTTGGAACTGTAGGGACTTTTAGGCCTCTGGAATACATTTTACTACATGAGAGCTGCCCTAAGTAAATCAGGGCTCTGCTACTACCTCTCATGCTCAGGAGGCCTCAGGTTCCCAGATGATAATTTCCAACAGCCTTGAGGTTGGGAGGGAAATCTGTATGTAGGAAGTGGGAGCCTCTCCAGGTTTTTCAGCCATTTTGCTCTCCACAAACACTTGCTGCTGGCTTATAAACTCCTCAGTCGGTTAGGTAATTGTGAGAGGTTGCTCACTTGAATAAGCTTCACCTGTGGGGAGGGTACTCCACCATTTTTCTCTTTTTTTCCTTCTCATTTCAACTATGACCCTGGGAATCAGACCACAGAGCCAGAGAAAGTGGAATGTGGCAGGCTGCCCTTTTAGCTAAGAAATTTCAGAACAACTGAGGACAGACAGGAAAGAGAAATGTATGGCTTTATTCTCCGTCCACTGTCTGGGAACATCTAAAGCCATGAACTGTTGTCTACCTGTAAATGACTAGAAGTGGACTTAATTCAAAATTCTTGGCTGAAAATTTTCATAGTTTCTCAAGATGTCTTAGCAAAGAAACCACTTAGAAACTCAGGAACTACTGCCTGTAGAGAGTAACTATTTTTACTTTCTAAAACTTAATGGAAGTATTTCCATCCTGAGACTCATTTTTAGTCAGTAAAATCTATGAAATGTTCCTCAGAGTTTCATTGTTTGAAATTTATTTGAGGGTATTCTGAAAGGATAACTACAATGATATTTTATTAAATAAAATGAACATATTAAGAATTGAAAATATAAGTTTCATTGTATTTCAGCATATTTAAACAAGTAAGGAAACTCAAGAGCCTTTTTCTCCCTCTTCTAAAGACAAGTAATACTAGGGATGTAATGGGGTGACCACTGGGCTGGAGAGGCATGACACCTCTTTCTAAATTCACGATTTCCCAGTTGAGATCTCAGGCAAGTCAACTCCCTTTTTAGACTTCAATATCCTCTTCTAAGAGATAAAGAAGTTGGATTTGATTCATAAATTCAAATATTAATCTGACAAACACATACTGAACACCACTACATGCCAGGTACCAAGCCAGGGATTGGGGCTATAAACAATGACTAAGACACAGTCCTAGTCCCTGAAATATATCCACTCTTGTTTTAGAGATAATCCAGATTATCTCTAACATTCCCTTTATTGTATAATTCCATAATACTCCCTTGTTTCTATACTTTTACTTACTTGCAGAAATCCTCTTCTTTTATCTTATTCAAAGCTTTCATAACTGCCATTCTAGTGAATACTGACTATATAGGGTAAAATGAGAAGAAAAGACATTTTATCACCTAGACAAGAAAACATGAGAGGTAAAACACAGAACAGGGTTGGAGAAAATACATTATTTTAAGCCATACTTATCGGGGAGAAACATTTAATAGCTCCAAGAAAATAAGTAAAACATAACCATTCATTCTGTCAGTTGTGCAACTGACACACCCCTACCTACAATCCTTCTTTTCTATGTCTGCAATGCCAGGTGGATCTAGCAGAATGTGCCCTCTTTACTGCACTGTCCCACTTCCATCAAAATGTATTTTTCAAATAAAAATATGATGACATTGCAGGAAATGTGCTTTGAATATTTTTTCTCAGACCTCAAAAGGAATTGAAATTGATTCATCTGCTTTTTCTTCCCTACATCCCTTCAGGGGCCCCACTATATAATTTAGGAGTTGGCTGCCAGGGAAAAGGCTAAAACAAAGCCAACCAGCCTGCCCTGACACCCAGCAACTCATCACTCCCCAGCCACAGGCAAAGTAAACAAATCCACTCTACGGAATATAAGGGCATCTACAACAAATGCCCCACTTTGGGTTTTTTAAAAGACAAGCCAAACTGCATGCCACACATACTAGGACTAATTAGTGCTTATGCACATGGCTTACTGTGACAAAGCACAGTTATCTCCTCTGTTAGGAGAAATCACACTTGACTGAAAAGAGGCACAATATAGGCATCTCAACAGCTTATCCTCAAGCAATGATTTTCTAAACCATATTCTGGGGAAAACCCAAGGTGTTGTAGTGTGAGATCTGAAAATTAAGTGTATATTTGTTAAGATACGAAATCACAGGCCTGAACGAATCTCAAAAGATGATTCAATTTACTCCCAGCTGTGAGGCAGGAAACTACATTAAAGAGTATATGCAACTCCTACTGGTCAAATAGTGTGGTGTCTACGATGCTTTGACAAAAATTCTCTTATTATATTATTTGATGCTGGAACTTATATATTTCCTCAAAGATAACAAAAAATAAAACCAGATCTTCAAAATAAATATGGCTTACAGGTCATTTGGGCAGCTTTCCAACTGGGATGGCAGAGCAGTGCGCTGCAGTTGTGCCGAGATGACAATCCCTTTTGTTCACAAGGGCTGAGTGGCAGGGCCTAGGACAGTGGGAACCCCCAGGCCTACTGCTTCCAACTTAGAGGAACATCATCTGTTTTAAGCTCAGGTTGCTGAACAAACATGGTAATGTTCTACATGTACCATGATGTGAGAAAAGGAGGGAGGCAATGCTTCAGGCTTAGTCTGCATTTCTAATTATTTCTGTACAGGGCATTTGGCAAATGTTACAAACTGGTCCCCCCCAGTTCTAAAAGGCCCAGCAATCAGGAAAAGAAAAACAGAGACCAACAGATGTATCTCTTGCAATAAGCTTATATTCTTTTTAACAATCACAAGAGCAAAATGGGTGTCAGTAAGACTAGAAATGCCTGAGTCTCTGCACAAAACCAGGTAAGTATCTGGGGCGTGAAAGCTTGCCAACACTGTGCCATGCCATTTTTATCCTGGCATAATAGACACTAAAAATACATGCTAACTACTTTGCTCAGTCATATGAAGACCAGCTCAGTAAAGGGGAGTTTAAATAAAATGCCCACAGCCTGAAATAAGTTGCATTAATTCAGGACTGTACTAAACAAAATAATTTATGTTGGATTATGTTTTTAAATACCTATTTCTAGAAGATGGATATTAGACAAAAATTTGGAATGCTGATGATACCTAACACAGATTTTTCCCAGGTGATGTAATTTTGGGGATTAAAATCTAAAAGCTGAATTTCCCCCAACGGGTAACATTGAAACACTGGTTCTAAATTTAAGAACATCAGAGAAACAACCCAGACAATGATACAAATATGAGAATGTTTGTGTTATGACTTCCTGGCCAGAGGCAAAGGTATTAAAGCATTGAAACAAACAAACAAACAAACAAACAAATAAACGTAGCGAATGGAAATATTTAAAGACTGATTCTTTGTATAATAGATTGCCAACATATCCAATGTATACCCTCTTTGTTGTTAATTTGAATATTGAGCTCAGACAAAACTCACTAAAAGATAAAGAGCAGGAATTCCTACCTGTTTGTTTTTGGCTGGCTTGAAACAATCTGGGCATAGTGCACGTCTAAGTAAAATTCAAGTTAATATAAAAAGATTAATGAGTTTATTTTGGGTTGGATACAATTCAAATATATTTTATACAACATGGCTGTTAAATTCAGGATATCAAGAGCAGATAAAACAAATCCCTCTATGAGCTTCATTGGTTTGCCTAGACCCTTATATTAGCACATGTTACACCTACTAAGACATGAGGTTCTAATATGCTCATTAGAAAGAGGGGCAATACTATTTTCTTGAAAACCGAAAAGGATTAGCAATGTTACACAATTAACATTGTTATTTACATGGCGACTTACAGGAAGTGGCAATCCTCAACTGTTTCTGGGTGAGCAAAGACCACACTCACTTCAAACAAGCTCTAAAAATTATAAACACAGTTTAAAAATGAACAAAAGGAAACCAACATTTAACAACTTATGAATGGAAATAGAAATTAACTCTCAAAGATTGGCTCCAAAAAAAAAGTGACAAGGAAAACTGAAAGACTACTGTTCTCAAATCAGCTTGTTCACCGGGCAGCTGTCAAGTTTTTTAACTTCTAAAGCTCAATCACTGGTGATCCTACCAAAAAAAACAAGTTTAAAACAAACTTTAAAATAAATGTGTATGATTTTTGGACATGTATACAAATTAAGTATGAAGATGAATGAGAATTCAGAGAACTGCAAAGAGAGAAGTGAAAGAAATGAAAATTGTTCCCGACTATACTATGATTAGAATTATTAGCAAGGCAAAAAGCACTTTATTCACATGCTTAAAGACTTGGTATGAGGCTTCTTTTCTTTCTTTAAGTGTTCAAACTTCTTCATGGATTTGATTTTTAAGGGAGAGATCTTAAATTTTTGTACAAAAGTGATACATACAAATAGTAAAATAAACATGGGATGGGTTTTCAACCCCACTCCACTGAGGAAAAACTAGTAATATATTTTTGGAAAATTGCTTTATTCAATTAATATTACATTACGGACATCCTTTCAGTTCTAAGGACTGCCGGACATTCAAGTTGCAGTAAGTTTTTCTGTTATTGAACATCTTTGTACACAAAAAAAGTACAATTTCATACTCTAAATACAGTAAACTCCACAGAGAATATACAAAATTCCACACTGAGAAAATGATATAAGTGCCATACCATGTAACAATTTTACTTTTTATTGAGTTTTATATAGAGTTTTATATTAGCTACTCTAGCACAATAGCTATCCTTTTTGCTGTCTAACTTACAAAATAAAATAAAAATTACAACACATTCCTTTTACTTAAGAAAACTTCACTCATTCTGAATCTATTATAACATTATCATATCTTTTGTTTTCTATTTTCTGTTCTCACTAGTTCAACATGTAAAATTTTTTGTGCTTCAAAACTGAAAATATTTGAGGTGAAAATATTTTGCATCAATGACTTCTCTAATTTCCAAAGTACTTTCATTACCTCATTTCCTCTTCATACTATCTGTGAAGTGGTTTTCTTCTCTATTCTTTCAGTATTCACCTTAAAGAACAGTGTTTATTCTTACTAACAATGGGAAAAAGCCATATAGTTCAGAAAGGCAAAAATACAACAACAAATTAAACTATTTAGCCTTGAAACATGGTTTTGAGATTTTACTTCAATAGAGTATATCTGATATTCAGGGAATTACTTTCAAGCAAAATGATGAAGCAATAAGGCCATGCTATTAAAATCTAATTTAAGATGAGCTGGGAATATGTCCTGTTTCCACATCTGAAACCTGGTGAGGTCTTCCCTAAAATTTAATCCATTCTAGAGACAGAAAGAAGCAAGGTTGGTTGGAATAGGGGAAATGGTTAAGAGTTCTGGTTTCAAAGGCAGTCTCTGCCAAAAATTAACCAAGGGATCTGAGACATCAAGGTGGGATTGAATGAGCCCATGCTCACTTTGTTGAATAGGTTCTGTCTGCATATTTGAAAACAAGATTAGCCACAGATAACTAAACGTAAATAGTCTAGAGATGATTCTACACTTGCTCATAGTTATTTATATATTGCTTTGTATCAGTAAATCTACCTCTCTAATTAAACTGTAAGTATACTAAAGGCACAGATTCATCTCTAACCTTTTACAGTCAATTAGTATATTGCACCTGTTACACTCATTGTCTTAGATCACAAAGAAATCTTGGGGGGAAAAAAAGAAAGAAAAACTTTAACCTCAATTTAAGACTGTTAGAAATTAACATTTTAAAAGTTTAAAAATCTTTCATTGTATTATTTAAAGAGAAGAATCTTTTGGTTAACCAACACTCTACTATAAAATGTAGTAAATCTAGTAAAACAAGAGAATAAAATTAACAGTGCTGATGATGCAATACCTTTCCATCAATGGGGACACCCAGTTCCTCTGAAAACAGGGGGTGAGTTATCCATTTGTAGGCTTCCTTAAGTTGAACTACATCATTTCTTCCCAGTGACAGATTCTGCTTTCTGAATAACATAAAAGTTAATTCACTGACATGAAAAACTTCACTTTTTCTACCTAAAGGCAAGAATTCCTGCAATTATTTTTTTAAATGTATTGAGTGCCTACTATATCTGAAAGTTTTTACACATTATATAGAAGGTAAAGAATAAGTAGACAAAAATTCCTCAGCTCATGGACCTTATATTCTTAGAATTGAGAAACAGCTTTTTAAATAGCATTTAAGACAGTTTTTAAAGCATTAGACAAAAGTATACTAATGGGTTTTTCTGAGCTACAACTGTCAGGTTCTAGGATTTATACATCAGAAGACAGATATAATAGAGAGGACTGTGTATTGCTCAGAAACTATAAAAGTGCATATTACAATAACCTCATCCAGATTAAAAATGTTTGCATCTACTCTCTTCCTGATAATGGGGTTTACTTTGGGGAAATCAGTGTAAAAGCTGTATGTTTCTTTATTGTTGAAGAACATTAAATCCAAAAGTATTAATGTTCTGAAATGCTTGTCAATTTAGTATCAGATAAATGTCTGAATAAAAACCTGACATTCCCCCAAAATCTACTCATGAGCCAATAAATAGGTTTGGGGAAGTCCCAGGTATGATTTCTAACATTTAGTTTGTAACCTAAAATTGTGATAGATAGGAACTGAGGTAAAAGGAAAGAAAAATATGTTATGATATTATTAAAACTGCTCTACTATACTGAGAACACTATTATATCACGATAATCTAACAAGCCCACATCATTCAAATAATTAAAACTTCCAGTCACTCTTATGACTGTTTACAGGGTTGCTTTTAACAAAAGAGATGTTTGAGCCAACTTGTAAAATCATTTCTTTTAATGTTCAATTTTCACTGATATTAGTGATTATATCTATTGTAAGTAATATCCATTGTACATATCCACTATAATTAATTAAATAGCTATTGTGATTTAACTCAAAACCATAAAACACTACTAACTGCAAGTAGAAAACAAAAAATAATTTAGCTAATGGCTAAATTTAATTGCTCTTTAAAGAAAAAAAGAATATAATAACCATTGTTACTCTAAAAAATGCAAATTAAGATTTCTACCCAGTCTATATCCAGCTGAGAATATAACTGGTTACACAGAATGCTTTCATATGCTTTGGGATTGTGGTTTAACAATGAAAAACCCAGATAAACTCTACATGTAACAAATAATCAAATTACTGTCTACATTCAGGAACTTATTCAAGCACTAAGTATTTTTGAGCTTCATAAACTGTTTCTAATTCTCTGAAATCAGAAACATTTTAAGTATTTTAAAAGACTATCTTGATATTGTATCAACATAGTATTTGCATAAATTAGCATCACATTCTATAGCATCTTACTATGCTGATGGACAGTGAGTGTAATGGAGTATGTGGTGGGGACTTGTTAACAGGGGGAGTCTAGTAACCATAATGTTGCTCATGTAATTGTACATTAATAATACCAAAAAAATAAAAATTTTTTTTTAAAGCTAGGAAAAAAAAATTGGCATCACAGTCAAAAAGTAGATAATTATGAGAACACATTTTAAAGGATAAAAAGTTGAAACAGAAAACTCAAGAATGGATAATTATTTAAAAATTGCTTAGAATCTAAAGAGTACAAAGGATTGCAGCAAAAGCCAATCCTTAAAGTTGGTTTAAACATTACGCACTCTGTATTTAAGAAAACTAGAATTTTAAATGCTTCATAGTCTTTGAAGTATATTTAGAATCCCTTAAACAGTTAAAAAAAGAACTATAGGTATTTTTTTTCTTCTAGATTAATGAGCTAGAAGAAAGGGTTAACAAACATCTTAGAAACCTTAACCCTATTTTGAGGCAAAAATACAATATTTCAAATGCCAGATTTTCAATCCTTCAAGTTGAATGTAGCTAACAACTTTTGTAACATAAATTAAAGTAAATGTTTTCACAGAGGTCCTCAGCATATGCCTGATGATCCTTTAGAGGAACCAGTAGTCATTAAATACAGTCCAGTCTTAGTTTAGTACTTAGCAACTGCATTTCCCTCTCTCCTCTGTCAGCTACATGCTGAGGATCACTGGCACTTCAGATACAATGTGACAACCATTCCAGAGAAAAGATAAACCAAAATATCCAGCACAACTGATTTTTTCTAAATTCTTTAATAGCAATTCCTCCAAATCTTTTGAATGCAGAATGAACTAGGGACACTGTGGAGAAAGATTAGTGTTTTATATTTTTTCTGTTTTAGTATCCCTGTATTGAACAGGATTTTTTAGATGAACTAAGCTTAGTTTAAAATTCTTCAATAAAAAATACCAATAGCAACTCACAAGCCATGTGGACAGAAACTGGAAACATTTAGAAAATAGCATATTCTGACTATGCTAAAAAATTTCTCAAACATGGAATCAATCTTTAGTATGTCAGAATCACAAGCATTTGAGACTAATTTAACACAACCTAACTAAAGTCCCAAACCTTTGATCAAATGTGGTTCCCTTGTACAAACACAGATGGGAAATACAAAACAAAACAAAAAAGCCAAATCAATTACTTTTTTTTATAAGTCATTAACCAAGTTTGAAATTCTAATGTAGAAATCTGTATTTCTCTCTGTGCTTTTCTCTCTAGAGTACAGAGGAAATTCTAGCAGTCACATGGCTCTTTTTTATATTGGTAGAGAAGTCTGGTTCCAAAATCCAAAAAGCCGGAAAACTAAAGATTTTTTTCCTAAGTTGGTTGCCAACCAAACCCTGCCTTGAACATATGAGCTGTTTTAGAGACTTTTACTTAGTGTTGAATATTCATATGTTTCACAGCAGAAATATTAATTTGTTTGATTACATAGTACATCCCAGGCCCTGGAGGGAAGGGATATGTTATATATGGTATTTACCACCATATTACATTTCCAAAATCTGAAAACTTTTAAATTCCAAAACACATTAGGCCCCCAACAACTTCAGATTAAGGACTACGGACCTATTGTTTCTAAGTCTCACCTATGTATAAACTCACTGTTGTTCTGCCTTATCTATGATTTTACTTTGTATCTTTTATAGCATAATTAGTTTTATAAGTTAGTTTCTAAGACCATATAAAATTTATTCTTTTAAATAATTTGCCAAACTGCCTTACATAAGTGCTTAATCCACATAAAGTTTGTGCTTACATTCACATTAAATCTACAGGGAAAAAAAATGAATCCACTTTAATAGACTCCTAATATGCTATGCAAATAAACCAATTAAGCAAGGTTGACACCTAAATTTATAATAAAATTTGTCTCTTTGTGCCACTTTCTCCAGTAGCTAGTGAACTCATTCTAAAAAAAGATTGTACTAGTAAAAGTACTTTAAAAATCAGCTATGTTATATTTAAATGGTAGTAAAAATTCCCTACCCAAACTACTTACCCCATTTCCTGTTTTACCAGCAACCATGCAGCATGCTGTAGGCAATTTAGTCACACCCAGAAAGAAGAGAAAAGGGAAAAAATGTTCATTGAAATTAAGTTCCAATTATAATTACTAAAGTGCTTAACTAATTTGCTAATCAAACTCTCCTTTTTAGGAGAGGAGTTAGTGTTCAAAATGCAGCAGTGACCTCAATCTCATTTAACATCAGAAATGAGGTAAGATGCCACTTTGCAATGCTGGCTTGCTGTGGCCCAGGAATTCAACAGGGGTATCCCCTCCTCTCTACACATTTCTGTTTCTCTTTAATGAAGCATAAGTGCTTTTTACAGGGGAAGCTTATATTTTTTTCCTTGAAGTATCTTATTATTTCATAGGGGAAAGCCCAAAGGGACTGAGTGCATACTATGCCCCCGAAACATAGAATTGAAGTCCTCAGTTTTTTGTTTTTTAATAGGGCTAACACACTTTTAGCTCTATCTTTTTAATGATACCCACGTGTTAGGGTTTAGGAGTAAAATGCACTAATGTCTACAATTCACTTTGGGATACAAGTATCCCCCACTTTCTGAAAGACCCACATTAGTACAGTAACAGCCTTTTGTAAAAGTGAAACCCCTCTCTGGATTTCTTTCAGTTCATGAAAACAAGTACTAATGTAGTCTTTCGTAAAAGCAAACTGGCACAACTTGAACTTTCCAAAAGCAAACAGCTGCTCTTTGCTTCATCTTGTAATGTTTCTTGTAAGCTGTTTCATCTTATACGAAAGGTTGCACAGGAATACTCTACTTTCAGAGAGCAGGGGAACCTATATAAGAAAAACTATGGTGAGTGGGTGGATAAGTCAATGGACTGATATATAATAAGGAAGCTACAGAAAAAAATAACTGTAGAGTCTAGGTGGGTGTATGGGTGTTTGCTGCACAATTCTTTCAACTGCATTATATGTTTGAGAATTCTTATAATAAAATGTTAAGGAAAGTGTCCTGGGGAGGATTAATAAAAACTGAGAATTCCTGAAGTGAAGATAGTAACATTCACAGTCAAAATCTTTATGAGGATTAAATGAAATTCATGTAAAATGCTTTGCATAGTAAGTGTGTGACAATGACATTTCTTAGTTTGCCATTAGATTCCAACAGCTTTCACCTTAAGAAAGGCAATAACATGTCCTGCTTCAATATACAGCATTTTGTGAACAGAAGCATAATGTGTTAGTCAATAAAATACCCTAGGCAGTCTCTGCTTCTACATGTCGCAAACATTGCCAGTCATTATCACTCACATTCACCTCCAGACCGGGCTCTCTCTCTCTCTCTCTCTATGCACACACAAACACACACACAAGTGGTGGTTCATATGTGGAATCCTGTCCTTTTAAACTTCAAATGACTGGCAGAGCACTACAGACTTCTAAAGACTTCTGATCATTTGGAAACATACTTCATTCAGACATGAGCCAAGCTGAGTAAGTTAATCATGACCTGGGTAAGCACTAGAACTGTTCCCAATGCCTAGAAGTCTCATCAGTACCTTCTGATTATTAGTTTGTTTACTTTGCTGACTCAACCTAATACCATCAATAGTACTTCAAGACCCCTTCCTTCTTCCCTTCCATTTAACAAGCCCTCTTGGAAAGTGCACAGCATGCTATAATGTACAAATTACTGAGAGAAGACCTGGCTTTAAACTTTACTAAATTTCTGGAACTCAGTTTCTTAATGTGTAAAATGAGAGAGTTCAACAAAAATGATTATAACTGAGGCTTTTCTGGATGGCCAAAGGTCATCATTATGAATATTAGTTATTATACTGTTTTGTAAGAGAGGCTATAAAGACTTACAGGACTTTGAGATCACAGAAAAAGGAAGAAGAATGGTCTCCTAAAGTTGAAACCTCATAGTCAGTGTTGCCCCACCTTCCTTCAGCCTCCATGCCTTAAGAGAGCAATAAATATTGTTTCTTCATTCATAAAGCTATATTAATAATCCCCCTGCAGGGATATGTGAAGATTTAATGAAACTGTGTTGTAAAGAACCAAGATTCCTGACCTGTACTTAAATGGTAACCGTAATTATCATTTTTAAATTAAAACCTTACCTAGAGGTCACAAATAAAATTATTATCCCTTAAAAGACTTCAAGATGGGAGATCGATTCAAGATGGCAATGTGAGAGGTGAGACAGAGAACTCCTCCCAAAACCACATATAATATGAAAATATAGTTAATACAACTAATCCTAAAAGAGCAACAGGAAAGAATGCTGCACCAGACTGCATACTCCCGGAGAACAGAGCAGACCTCACGAAAACAGGGTAACATACCAAAGCCCTGATCTGGTGGGACTCAAGCCCTTCCCCACCCCAGCTCACCGGCAGAAGGAAAAGAAACAGAGCGGAGAGTGGGTGGAAGCCTAGGACTACTGAACACCAAGCCCTGGAGATCTGCTTTGGGAGCACAAACCTACATTGCATGATGCTCTGGAGATTAGTGGGGTTGGAAAGCTAAGACAGGCAGAATACTTGAGAGACTGAGATTCTGGCTGTTTGTGAAAGACAGGGATCCACATCCAGCAGCTCTGGGACAAAGGAAAGGTAGGCTGTATGAGAGGATTCCTAACAGCTGAAGGAGTGGAGTTTTTACGGAGCTTGCTGCGCAGAAGAAGGGATACATGGGCAAGGTTGTCAGGGTGCACTCTGCCCAGCAGTTTGGGAACTTCCAGGAGCTTCAGGTGCTCCATCCCACTAGCTAGCTACTCAGCTCTGAGGCCCCCCACTGTGACAAACAGCTTGCTGTGCCTTCCTCCTGGCCTGCTGGCACCGGCTCGCAAACTGGCAGTCACTGCCCTGGCATCAGGCCAGCCACAGGGAGGCCCCACCTAGCGCAGCTACAGATGAAAAGCACAGAGGTTTACACCTTTGTGCTTGGCCCACTGGCTCTGACACTGGAGACAGACACTGTAGTTGGGAAGCAGGAAACAGCTTTTTCCTCCCCCCCAGGCACCAGCCCTGCTCACCTGAGACCCCTAACCTCACTCCACGGGCTGAGAAGCTCCAGAGACTAGTGCTTCTGGGCACTACAGGGTCCCACATAGAAATATGAAACATCAAAGGAAACTGGTTCAGACCAAAATCTCACAAACCCCAGAAAAAAGACCAAATGAAACTGAACTCACCAATCTTCCTGAAAGAGAGTTCAAAATAAAAATCATAAACAGGCTTATAGAGGTAGAGAAAAATATTCAAGAACTCAGGGACAAATTTTGGACAGATATTCAATAATTAAGAAATTCCACATCTGAAATGCAACACACAATGGAGGGATTTAAAAACAGACTAGATGTAATAGAAGAGACAGTAAATGGAATACATAGTAAGAGAAGAGGAATACAAAGAAGCTGAGGCACAGAGAGAAAAAAGGATCTCTAAAAATTAAAGAATATTGATAGAACTGTGTGACCAATCCAAACAGAACAATATTCACATTATAGGGGTACCAGAAGAAAAAGAAAGAGAAAATGGGATAGAAAGTGTCATTGACGAGGTAATTGCTGAAAATTTCCCCAATCTGGGGAAGGAGACAGTCTCTCAGGCCATGGAGGTGCACAGATCTCCCAACACAAGAGACCCAAGGAAGACAACACCAACACATATAATAATTAAAATGGCAAAGATCAAGAATAAGGACAGGCTTTTCAAAGGAGCTAGAGAGAGAAAAAAGATCACATACAAAGGAAAACCGATTAGGCTATCATCAGATTTCTCAACTGAAAACTTACAGGCAAGAATGGAGTGGCATGATATATTTAATGCAATGAAACAGAAAGGCCTCAAACCAAGAATACTCTACCCAGCAAGATTATCATTTAAATTTGAAGGAGGGATTAAACAATTTTCAGATAAGCACAAGCTGAGAGAATTTATCTGCCACAAACCACCTCTACAGTGGGTGGGACTGCTATAGATAGAAGTATTCCTAAGGCTAAACAGCTGTCAACAGGGTAAATAAAACTACAGCAAAGTAGAACAATTAATTACTAAGCAGATGCAAAATCAAATCAACCACACCCAAAGTCAATCAAGGGATAGACAAGGAGTATAGAATATAATACCTAATATATGAAGAATGGAAGAGGAAGAAAAAGGAGGGGAAAAAAAAGAAAAGAACCTTTAGGTTGTATTTCTAATAGCATATTAAGTGGGATAAATTAGGCTGTTAGATAGTAAGGGCATTACTCTTGAACCTTTGATAACCATGAATCTAAAGTGTGCAATGGCAATAAATACATACTTATCGATAATCACCCTAAATGTAAATGGTCTCAATGCACCAATCAAAAGACATAGAGTCACTGAATGGATAAAAAAACAAGATCCATCTATATGTTGCCTGCAAGAGACTCACTTAAAACCCAAAGACGTACTCAGACTGAAAGTGAAGGGATGGAAAAAGATATTTCATGCAACTAATAGGGAGAAAAAAGCAGAAGTTGTATCAGAAAAAAATAGACTTCAAAACAAAGAAAGCAACAAGAGATAAAAAAGGACATTACATAATGATAAAGGGGTCAGTCCACAAAGAGGATATAACCATTATAAATATATATGCACCCAATACAGGAGCACCAACATATGTGAAACAAATACTAACAGAATTAAAGGGGTAAATAGAACGCAACACATTCATTCTAGTAGACTTCAACACTCCACTCACTCCACAGGACAGATCAACCAGACAGAAGATAAGTAAGGACACAGAGGCACTGAACAACAGATTAGAATGGATGGACCTAACAGACATATACAGAACTCTACACCCAAGAGCAGCAGGATACACATTCTTCTCAAGTGCACATGGAACATTTTCAAGAATAGATCATATGCTAGGCCACAAAAAGAGCCTCAATAAATTCAAAAAGACTGAAATTGTACCAACCAGTTTCTCAGACCACAAAGGTATGAAACTAGAAATAAATTACACAAAGAAAACAAAAAAGGCCACAAACTCATGGAGGCTTAATAACATGCTCCTAAA